AAAAGAAAAAAAAAAAAAAAAAAAAAAAAAAAAAAAAAAGAAACGAAAAAGAGGCCAAAGACGGCAGCTGCAGCCATAGTTAGTGTGCACGTAGTGCGTGTTTAGAACAGATTGACTGTATGTATTTAAACAACCAAGATTTGTTTTTTGTTTACAATCAACCAAAATGAAACCAAAGTGTAAAAGAAAAGGAATGGTTAATAAGGGGCTTTGTTGACTTCCACGAGCAACAACTTTAGAATTCCTCTGCTCTCATACTTCACTATCCCACATCCTCATTCAATCCACCGTACCATGTATGATATGGATATGTATGGTTAAGAGGCTGTTGTATACCTCAGAAGGCTATTACAATCTCAATTACTTTACGTCTCTCAATGTCTGTAGTGGATCAAGCGGAACCCAACTAACTCCTTATAAGATTTTCTTATAAAATGTCTTAGGTTCAGGATTCCAATACAATCCAAACCGATCAAGATAGAAAGCGAAAATAGTCTCATGTTTATTGCACACAAGATGTTTTCACTATTCATAAGGATGAAAGATATCATAGGAAGCTAATGGGAGATATTCGAATAGCAAAACTACAAGAGATATGTAGCGCACAAGGATCACTATGATGTAAATGGAAGAATGTGAGAAAGGAATTAACTGCAATGAAACTGGGCCTAATTAGTGTGAACATCGTGTTAGTTATTGAACAGCTGGTATTTGTGTTTCTTTCATTCTTCTGCTTGTCTGCAACTTGGTGAGGAAACGTGAAACGTGAGCATGGTAAGCTTCATGTAGAATGCGAGTCGAACATCACAAAGATTTACCTTGAGTGGCTTGAATTTGAGGGTGAATTGTGGTGTCCACCAGTTTGACCATCCGCATGCTGGGCTTCATCATTTGAGGGAGTGTCTTGTGTATCAAGTGCTGTCGACGGTTTCTTGAATCGAATGATTGAGTATTTCTTTTGCTCGATCTCTTCAATCCAGATGATGACTTCTTCGTTAGTTAGACGCCCAGGTCCTTTGGCTAGCATCATATCCGTGACACGACAGTCAGAAGTTCGATGTATTCTAAGCATCACTTCTCCTCTGAATTCTTTCTTCTCGAAAGCGGCTACAACATTGGCCAACTTTGGGTGAAAGTCACCCTTGCTAAGCCAGCCATTGCGAAGGTGTGGTGCTAATTGGTAAAAGATCTGGGTCAGTTGCAAGGCCAATGTTTATGTCGGACTGCGAGGACTTACATATGAGATCATTGAGGGCTTGTGCAAGGTCTGCTCTTCGTTGGGCTTGGCGGGCGGCGGCTTCTGACTGAGGCTTAGGTTTGCTAGGTTTGGGGCGTAGGTGATTTGTGGGCCTTGTGTGGACTCAAATGCAAAACGTTCCAGCAGATGGGTTTCTGCTGGAGTCGTGCCCATCTGGTGCTCGAGGTGTACTCGTTCTGGAAAAGGGCACGTGAGGTAGGCGAAGCTGGGTTCCAACGGGCTACCAACAGGTGGAAGTGGAGGGTGAAATGGTTTTCCAGGACAGAAAGCTAAGAGGGACAACATAGAATTGTGAGCTAAGGAACCTGTATGTCAATGTTGGTACAATACAAAACACTGACCTGTCGGACAACTTTGTTGAGTTCACGCTTCAAGAGTTGTTCCTCTGACGTGTGCCGTGATTTTCCACTGTGACGCCACAGCCTACCTTGGTGCAAGTCTCGGGAGACTTTGGTCAAGTTGACAAGTCGTGTGAATATGGGCGCGTACTTGTCTAGATCTGCTTGACTGAGGGGTTCAAGGTCTGTAGCCGTACTATTCTTGGCGGTCATTGGTGCTGCAGGGGTAACGGCATTTGGAATGCCATCTGGGGTTTGGGTGAGGGAATAGGCCTCGCTGGTGGCTAGGCATAACCGTTCAAAAAGTCGAGGACAGAATACTTCTCTTTCGTCTTGGTTGTAAGTGCTCCAGGTACTGCCGACCTTACTATTACGTTGCCCAAATCCGTTTGAGGTCCCCCTACTAGGCACTACATATGAAAAGTGATCAGTTCTAGAAAAAAAAGGATATCGTGGATTGCTTGTTACTTTGGGTGGTGGTGGCAACAACACTGTAAGTCTGGAAATTGGTGTACAGGTTTGGTTCGCGAGCCAGAGGTCCTTCCAATCTTATCGTAGTTAAGGAAATGGGGTATTTGTTTGTTTAGTTTGCGTAGCTGTTGCTGCATCCAGTGAGAGAACTCACAAAGCTTCGTCCAAGATTTTACGGCTACATTTCAAGACTATGCACAACATGGTCTTATCCAAATCGTAACGGGATTGGAGCGCTTGTGCTTCGAATAAACCAATCGGCGAGGGGCGATTGGTTTTTTGAATGCCAAGTGAGGCCAGTTCTTCTTCGGCTCGGGCCAATCCCCATTGTAGACCCAGCTGTTGATAATTTGTCATGTTGGGTTTGGACTCCTCACCATCTGAAACAGAGGGACCGTCTTCATCGTGGGATGGAGATCGAGATCGATGTCGCTTGTTGTTGCGACGGCTAGAGGAGCCAACTCGACCACCACCTCTTGCTCGTTGGGTAGAGCCTCGTCGTGCAGCGCGTGAGGGCTTGAAAGAGTCGTCGGTATCTATTTCTTCGGATTCTACTGGTGCCTCAGAAGATTCTGGTGCTGGTTGGATTCGTTCCAGTCCTGAACGCATGGTAAATTTAAATGAAGTGAGGAGAGAGTGATGAGCTGTGATGTGAGGAACGTCGATGTAAATTTTGTTGGCGAGGTTATGCAGATGTTGTGGGTAGTGGGTGTGTTCAATAGGTGTGGAGATGAAATTACGCTTCGAGGTTAAGAATTAAAAAGAAAGCGGGGAGGATGTGACATATCTATATGGTAGTGATTTTGTTGGGGTGGGTAGTGAGATGGCGATGGCTGAGGTTGGGTGGTGATTCTAGGGTTTGAGTAGTGAAATTTCGGTAAAGTGCGACGAATTGGTATGCTGGTGATTCAATTCACAGTGGTGGTGAGATGACTGAGTTGGGTGGTGAGTTTGGGGTTCGGGTAGTAATATTTGAGGTAATGGGTATGCAGGTGATTTTGATGGATTGTGGTGGTGAGATGTTTTTTTGAGTGGTGAAACTTGCAAATGTAGTGGTGAGATAGGTCAAAAAACCCAATAATATATTGGGTGGTGAGATTTATGGGTTGGGTGGTGAGATCCTTTACTGAGGTGGTAAAATTATCTGGTCAGGTGGTTAAATTGAGCTTGGTCATGACGGGACCCAAGGTCCCTGCCTTGCAAATATGGGGACTTGGAGTATTTTCTAGGTCACCATAGGACCAGCTATGTTGCTACGAAATTCTACATGCTTACAAACGGACTCTGACGGATGATGCGGGAGTCCGCTTCCTCGGGTATACTCGGAACGTGTTAGTCCACACAGGTGACAGGTTTTGACCCCTCCAACCTCAATGATGTTGAATGGGATGAGCATGAATTGTCCAAGTTCCAGCTCGCAAAAGCGCTGGAAGTAGACCTTTATAGCTTTTGTGTGAATAGGCAAAAATTCTCTGGCGGTGAGATTTATAAAGACGGTCTGTTTGACCTACCGGACATTGAAGTTGGCAAAGATCTTAATAAAAAGAAAAAATAACCTTGTCATGTATTTGTTTCTCTTGAATTGAAATTTTGTTGTGCTGGATTTATTTAACTCTTGGTAATGTTTCTTCCTATTAACCCAAAATGTAACTTCAATCAGTCTAAAAATTCTTGTTTCCAAAACTCAAGTCTAAGCTTAGGAATTTGAATAAATTCTTTCTACTGTTTTATTTGTATCTTGTTGCTTGTCAACCTGGAATGATTGTTAACTATTTTTTATGATATCATTGGCATTTTTTCTAGTACTGTGAACCAGTTTAAGCCTTCAGGTGAGGTGTGAACTGGGTTCACAGTACTCGAGAAGAATGTTGATGGTATTTTGAAGAATAACTTATGACACAGTGATGTTCAGCACTATATCTTGGGTAAGCTCGTATGTAAAACAAGCAATTAGCCGGATCCATTTCAATCCTCACATGATTGCTCAAGTGGGAAGCTAGCTCAATATAGGTCCCACCAATCGCAGATTATTGGAAAATTTGGCCTGATTTCAAATCAAGTTTGGCGGTGCTGCTTATCTTTCGCCCCCATTTGCTCTGTCTTCTCCCAGAACCCTCTCCAGGTGGACAATGAAGATGATAGTATTCTTTGCACATCTTTCGGCCTCTTCAGATATTTCTCAAGTAAGCTACAAGTCTAGTTTACCAACAACTTCAAATCTTGACTTTGTCAATTTAAGCAGGTACTGCACTTAAATCATTCTCCCTCTCGCCAAAACCGTCAACGCCAATAAACAAAATTTTGTGATTTGAGGGGGTACTTACGTTAAGTCAATATAATAGCTTGATGAACCCTAACCTAGCTACCTACAAGTGGCTCACACATACCACCACATGTAAGGTACATGACACTAGGGTTACTTAGTCTTGTGATATCTGATTTCCCAGTCTGAATCTTGATGAATCTTGACACTCTAACTGAACAATCAAACATTGAGACCATCATCAATGGCTATCACTCTGGGACCTCATGCCATTGCTTTAGACCGCAACCAGTTCCTCTGCAGTTGTCCAGAATTGGGATGCAATCAAAAGACCCTTCAATACACCTGTACACTTAAGTATGTACCCTATACCATAGGGTCATAAAGACGTCTGTATGACCCAATGGCATTCGAGTCTGACTGCCAAGATGAATCAACATCTTAAGAAGCATCTTGAAGGGTTCCAAATTTGGCTAAGTGTTATGGACAGACTTGGGGGTTTTCGGCGACGAGGGTCAAGGGAGTTCTGGTGAGGATTTGTATCTATTACCAGTCTTCCTATGTGGATTGTCGGATGAGGGAAAATCTGTACAGGCAATGTATCTACAACTATAAGATGGTTCTCGAGCTTGTGACATGTAATGTGAATATGTCACTCAAGTGAAATAGAACCAGTTCATAACATTATCCCCCCTTTAATGCCCAAGCTTCCTCTTGCAAGCTCTGCATTCTTTCCACGGGCTGCGTTAAAAAACCCAGTGGGAAAAAGCATAGCCCTCTCACTTCTTCCGCCTTCTCCTTTTGTACTTATTTGTTGCGTCGGGATATTTTAAATTAAACTCATTAACTAAATCTTGACTATTCTTGAGGTTGATTTCGGGTTCCCATGAATTGTTTTCCTTGCCAAATCCTTTCCAACTCACAAAGTATTCCTTCTTGTTGTACCTTCTTCTACAATCTAGTATCTCGTTGACTTCCCATTCTTCTTCATCCTGTATTATGATTGGTTCGACTGGGGGTTGTTTTCGTTGATGTATTGTATCCGGGTTATGTTTCCTGAGTACAGAGACATGAAATACAGGATGGACGCTTTTCATGGAAAGAGGGAGATTCAATTTATAAGTAGAATTTGATATCTTTTGGATAATGAAGAAAGGACCTAGCCATCTATTTTCTAATTTTGGGCTTGGCCTAGTTGTCGAAATGTTTCGTCCGTTCAACCAGACTTGGTCTCCTACTTCCCATCTTGGTGTTTGTTGTACTCTTTTGTCAAATTGTTCTTTCATCTTCTCTTGAGTTAATTCTAAACATTGATTTAATTCAGATTGCACTTCGGCGAGTGTTTGCATCCTCTTCTCTACTGCTGGCACACACTGTTCAGCTGATGGTACTTTGTTGAATGATGGGTTAAATCCATAGTTAGCTTTAAACGGTGAAATGCCCGTGGATTCATGGTCTTTGTTGTTATACGAGAACTCAGCTGTGGGCAGTAGACTTTCCCAATCGTCTTGTCGATATTTAACGAAATGTCGTAAATATTGTTCGATTACTTTATTGACGATCTCGCTTTGACCGTCTGTACGTGGGTGGAAAGCGTTGACGGTGAAGGCGTATACCTAGGCGTTTGTCAATTTCTTCCGTGATGAC